TGTGTGAGTGATGTGTGAGTGATGTGAGTGTGTGTGTGAGGGTGTGTGAGTGTGTGTGTGTGAGTGATGTGTGAGTGATATGTGTGTGTGTGTGAGGGTGTGTGAGTGTGTGTGAGTGTGTTTGTGTGAGAGTGTGTTTGTGAGTGTGTGCTTGTCTGTGAATGCGTGTGAGTATGTTCGTGAGTGTTCAAGAGCAATGATAACGTAGGGCCCCTCAGATGCATAGAGAAGCAGTATCCAGGACAGCTAAAAGGGGGCGAGGAGGAACGGGGGTGGGGGGTGTTGATAGGAGGATACGAAGATTCAGTCAGACATAAGGACTAAGTTTAGAGACCTCTGCACAGCAAGTTCATATAGTTAATACTAATTAATGTATATCACAAGTATGCTAAGAGAGATTTTAATTATTGTGATCACAAGAGAAATATGTGAGGTGATGAATATGTTAATTAGCTTGATTTAATCATTTCATGATGTACACATATACCATAATCGTGTTGTACTCCATACCTAAATATAATTACTATTCATCAATTAAAAACAAAAAAACTGATAGGGATTAGCAGAAGGCATAGTCGCTGGGTCCCCACATGGCTGACCACAGTTCGAGTCCCAGATGTGGTAGCAGTTTGAGTCCTCCACCCACCAGGCATGTGTATGTGCATGCCCAAGATCCTGGGAAAAGAATGGAAAAGAAAGCATTAGGGCACAGCCATCCCCAGCGGGTAATTCTCCCTTTCCCTCTCAGTCACTGCCTCTCTCTCTCTTTCTCTCTCATGAGTGCACATGCCCTAAGGCAAAAAAAAACCTCTTAAAAAATAGTAAAGTAACCTGACAATATCATCTCATGACCAGAATATAAAACTACTAGAAGTCATAGAATTTCTTTGTGAAAGAAAAAAATTATCACCCTTATAAAAGAAGCTATTACAAATTCTATGCTACTAAAATATTCTAACACTCCTTTTTGTTCCACACTTATATATTTATTTGCATACCTATTTACTTTCCCACTTAAGAAAATCTTGTATTTCTCTAGAAAATTGGCAATAAGTGGGACCGGCAGTTGGCATAATGGCTATGTCACTGGATTCCCACATAGACTATTGTGTTTCGAGTCCCGGACCCGGTGACTTAAATTCATGCCGGGCTAGTGTGTGTGTGTGCCCAAGATCCCGAGAGGAGAATGGAGAAGATGGAATTACAGCGTGACCACCCCCACTGAGGGATGATTTCTTGCTTTCTGTCTCTCTGTCTCTCTGTCTTTTTGGTGAGCGCACACACCCTATAGCAAAAAAAAAAAAAAAGAAAGAAAGAAAGAAAGAAAGAAAGAAAGAAAGAAAGAAAGAAAGAAAGAAAGAAAGAAAGAAAGAAAGAAAATTAGGAATAATCTTCAGAAACCATATTGGCAGTTATGCCACATTGATGCCACATTTATTTCGCAATAGGGCACATGCACTGACTAGAGTGAAACAGAGATAGAGACAGATGGAAAGTGAGAAATCATCTCCTGGGGGAATGGCCATGCTGCATTCCCTTCTCTTCCACTCTCCTCTCAGGATTTTGGGCTTGCACACACATGCACCCAGCATGTTTCTTGTGACGTGGTCAAGGGCTAAAACTGTGCAGTTGGCCGTGTGGGATACAGCCACTTTCACTGTTCTGTGCCACAGGCTGCCTCCACATTGGCATATCTTTTGTAGAGGTATTTGCCTTAGGGTATGTGTGCTCCCTAAAGAGAGAAACAGAGTTGATAAAAGAGAAAATGAGAAATCACCACCCAGGGAACTGGGCCACATCACATTCTCCTCCAAGGATCTTGGGCATGCATGCACACGAACTTGGTGTGAGTTTCATGTGATCGGGTCCTGGACTCAAACCATGGTCAACCATAGAGGAGTCCAGTGATGTAACTGCTACGCTACATGCTGGCCCCTCCACACTGGCAATTTTTATTTTATTGTTTTGCATTTTTTATTTCATTTTCTCTTTTACATTCAATCACATTATTTAGCTTACAAACTGAATATTTCAACATGTGAACATTTCTCACTAGTCCACCTGATAAAACTATAAAAGTACCTTCAACAGATAATACCACATATCTTTGTCCCATTAATGCTTTGCCTCTCTGTTTTTCTTCTAAATGTCCTTCCTCAGACTCTACTCTTTCACACACACACATTGGCAATTTTTAAATAAAGCTAAACACTCACAGAGAATAGCCAATGTGACTATGTGAGAACTGCTGTACGCCCAGACAGCTGGGGAAGCGGTACAGAAATGTGCAGGGAGCCTAAGCCAGGAGAGAGGAGCCCAGGAGATAACCAGCCATGACCAGTTACTTATTCGGCAGAATTACCTATCTTCTGCCTGGCACTCTTCATGGCACAGAGGGTTGGCAATAGATTAGAGGCAAGAACGTCTGCCTGACTGTGGGTCATGCGGTACCAACAGTGAGGAAGAAATGCATTTCGGACGGACAGGCACAAAGAAGGAATCAAAGACATAAGAGGGGTGAGGGTGCTGAGGTGGGGCTGGCAGATAAAATGACCAGTATTCAGACAGGACTATCCCTGCCATGGGCTGGGATTCTGAGAGCCAGCACTGCCCCAGACGTCAGCGACTGCACCTGAAAGTGCCCTCTCCTTTCAGGGTCCCCTCCTCACCACTAGCCACTTACGTGGAAGATGCCAACCAGGCAGGTGGAGCACTGAAGTCGAACACAGGAACCTCATCCAACTGAAAGATGGAGAAGCTTCCCCCAATGACCAGGTCCCCAGGACGGTCAAAGCGGGGGGTCTTTCCTGGAATCTGCCAGCTGGTTGGTGGAGTAAGAGCGGCTCCAAAGAGAGATCCCACGAGGAGGGGAAGCAGAGAGCACAGCCACATGCCTGGAGGGACTTCACAGCCCGTGACACCGTAGTGCCTGTGTGAGCCACAGCAGATGGGACAGGGAACTTTATCTGGGAGCTCACCCTCCGTCTAGGACACAGGGGTGGAGACACACACATAGGGAGGCATCCACACCATGGAGGAAACAGGGGTCCTCAGCTGGAGCTAGGTGGCTCCTGAGTCCCAGGGCCATTAAAAGTTTGACTTCCTTCTCTGGTGGCTTCCTCATTT